AGCACCTTTCACCGGAGTCGAGGGAGATTAACTCGGATACAGCGTGAACAAGAATGTTCCAGTAAGGCCAATCGACAGCTGGTCAAGAGGAATCCGCCGTCGTCTTCTGGTGGAATCGACCTTCGAATCTCTTTACCGAACACTTTCACTCGAAATGGAAGTTAGCACAACAATTATATGTACGTTAAAGATGAAAATAGAACGATTTGATTTTTCCATTTCATCTTTACACAACTATTTATATGCTTAAGGACTTAAAATGTTACATTCTTTATCTTTCAATCCGTCTATCCATTTATCTTTTTATTTATTAAATCTTCTTTTACCTCTTTCAGCAAGCATAGAGAGCATGTAAGTGTGAGCTGTTTAGTCTTCTGAACGTGTTGTTTGCCTCATGATTTTGCAGCATTCAGATCCTGCTCTGGCGTTGTCTATCACAAAAGAAACAAATCTTTAGGCCGATTTTCCTCTGACCAAAAAAGAGGTCCAGAGGATTGCGTAAACCTGAAGGGTATTGTGGCACCAAATGAGTAAAGAACTGACCCTCGTCCTCTGAGGAGATTTCCCCGGGATTTTCTTCATCGTGCACTTGAGCCACATCAATTGGGGAAGATTGACTCGACTGCCTGAATGTGACAGAGTTAATGGGTCCTGCTGAGGATGAGCTTCTTCTACTGTCATGGCAGTACTTCCGAAGCTGATCACATTTCGGAGGCCTTATCGGAGGTCCGTGCTTGACCCGCTCAAACTGAGTCCCGCAGTTGCAAACGACCTTCCTTTCTGGAGCGGTCAACTCACAATCAGTCACCGACACGGTTTTGTATCACTTTTTTATTTTTCCACAACACTCCACTCCACCCCACTCCACTCTGCTCCACCAAAACCTCAACTTCTTTTTCCGCCCAAAGTCTCCTTCCCTCCACCACCATTTGCAGACGCCTCAAAGGCCCGTTTGCGTTTCGGCGCTGGGACCTGCAATCGGAACGGCCCAGGCCGCCTCGCTTTGGAGAGGGATAATTGGCCCAATTCTGCCCAGTCCGGGATCATAAACCCCATTTTTAATACACGTGTCCAGGTACACGATCTGAGACATAAAGCGTGTGATTGTGACCGGCAAATGCTTCGCACACGCCGTTCACAACGCCCGGCCCGGGGAGCAAGCGACCCCGTTCACACCACAGTTCGGGTTGGACGGGCCATTAAACAAATACTAGACCACTGCCCCACCCACCCTCGAGGTGGTACGGCGGGCCCAATTTGGAGGAGGATAACCCGGACTCGTGCCCTTCTGCCCGTTGAAATGTGTGAAAATGGACAAATGAGTTCGCCTCAGGGATGATTGAGTGTTGCATCTCTGGCATACACCCTGTGTCTTTGTGTACGTGTATGTGTGCATGTGCGGGTGTTTAGGCTATGGGCTGCGGCCATCAGTCCGGGCCAGATCGGGAGTCTTTAATGGCAGCAAGACTGTATCAAAAAACCAGCTGCGGACCAGCGTTAAAACAACTGGCCTGAGACAAATTGGTGAAGCCTTGTCTGTTCCGTTCACACCGCCTGGGGTCAGGAAATGTGTGTGTGCACATGCTTGCATGTGTGCTTGTGACAAGCTTGCATTTTTATGTTTAGATGCTATTGTATGCATGAGGGGGAGGTATGAAAGTAAATTATGGGCTAGGGGGGTGAGGAGAGGCAATGAAAGGTGCAAATGTATGGAGAAAGTTAGCGGTTGTAATGAGGGCCGTGAACTTTTCGGGACGGGGACAGAAGATTTTTTCTCCTGGCAACAAGGCGGTCTTAGCCTCAAGTCTGAAGTCCGCCAGGGATTCTGCAGGAGTCGATACGAGCACCGTTGCTGACGGGACTGCCAGAGAAGAAGTACAGAGGTTTGGGTGCACATTCCTGGAAATGTGGGTATCCGCATTGGTCCACCGCCCATTTACTGGGCGGTTGTGGTTTCACAAGCATTGGGAAGGGTTTATTGGTTCTGAACCCCAAACACTGAAGAAGGAGGCTTGCCCCATTCCTATCTGCGGCTGCAAATCCACACGGTCTTAAAATATCAATTGAGAATATAAATCTCTCAGAAGATTTGTGTGGTGCTACATTTCATTTTGTTTGAAACGACGAGTCAAAGTAATGCATAAATTGGCCTCGTTCGAGACCACCGGAGTGTTGTCAGGGCATTGAAGTTGAAGATTTGCTCGAAGATGCCTCCAGCACAATCTTATTCATTCCAGTTTGGTCTGCAATCTGACAGACAGG